AGTGTTTGGAAAAAAACTCACATTCGATACAGAAATCGGTCAAGGGTCAATTCCAAGCGAGCTTACTTGGTTCCGGCCCGATCGGCGAAATTTCGATTTCGACCCGAAAAATTTAGTCCATGTTATCCGTGTAGATTTTTCTCGATTTGGATCGGAGAAAAATATTCGAGATTTCAGTCGCATCCTACGTAGTTAGAGGCGTAGAATCGATTCCGCACGGTCCCGACTCTCGGCGAGGCTTCCTGAGCCGAGAAACAGTCAAAAACTGGTCAAAAGCGAGTGTTTCTGACTACTTTTTGACTCTTTCTCTGGAACAATTTCAGCGGATAGCTCGAAGCGAGGGACTTGCGGAGCTTTCCCAACTGGAAAATCGCACTCAGAGGGTCAATTCCAAGCGAGATTGCTTGGTTTCGGCCCGATCGGCGAACTTTCGATTTTGACCCTAAAAATTTAGTCCATGTAACCCCTGTCGATTTTTCTCGACTTTTGACGGGGAAAAAAAATTCGAGATTACAGTCTCATCCTACGTAATCGGGGGCATAGAATCGATTCCGCACGGTCCCGATTCTCGGCGAGGCTTCCTGAGCCGAGAAAAAGACAAAAACTGGTCTAAAACGAGTGTTTCTGACCACTTTTTGACTCATTCTCTGGAGCGTTTTCAGCGGATAACTCGAAGCGAGGGACTAACCCGGCTTTCCCGACTGGAAAATCCGCCGAATGAAAAATTCCAGCGTGCATGGAGGCTACTTTCATTGTAATCTTCCGTAGCATTTCTAAGGTGCGATGATACAACTATTTGAACTCTCGGGAATGCGTGAGGTATCACGCTGCATTTGAAGGCGTTTTCAAAACAGCCAAGTTCCGATATCCGGATTATCGTTTTGCAAAGCTCATTTTCGTTTGTGTTATTCCTTACCACCTGTTACTTTTTAATCCTCGTATAAAAATCACTAATTAGCTAAATAAAATTCTAGCTGCAGCGCACTTAAGCTATGCATTCACTGCTGCAAAAATGTCAAAGGAAATCGACGACCCCAGCGTGCATGAATGCTATTTTCATTGTAATTTTCCGTCACACTCCTAAGGTGCAATGATACAACTATTTGAACTCCTCGGAATGCGCGAGGTATCACGCCGCATTTCAGGGCGTTTTCAAAACAGCCAGGTTCCGATATTTGTATAATCGTTTAGCATAGTTAATTTTATTTTGTTTTCATTTCTTACCACTTGTTTATTTATAATCCTTCTAGGTATAAAACTTACCCATTTGCTGTATACAATTCTAGCTGAAGTTCACTTAAGCTATACATTCACGCCTGCAAACATGTTAACAGAAATCGAAAAGGACAGCGTGCATGAAGGCTAATTTGATTGTAATCTTCTATCGCATTTCTAATGCGCATTGATAGAACTATTTGAACTCTCGGGAATGCGTGAGGTATCACGCTTCATTTGAAGGCGTTTTCAAAACAGCCAAGTTCTGATATCCGGATTATCGTTTTGCAAAGCTCATTTTCGTTTGTGTTATTCCTTACCACCTGTTAATTTTTAATCCTCGGATAAAAACCACCCATTTGATAAATAAAATTCTAGCTGGAGCGCACTTCAGCTATGCATTCATCACTGCAAAAATGTCAAAGGAAATCGTTGAGTCCAGCGTGCATGCCCTGTCGATTTTTCTCGATTTTGGACGGGGACAAAAATCTCCAGATTTCAGTCGCATCCTACGTAGTTGGAGGGGTAGAATCGATTCCGCACGGTCCCGACTCTCGGCGAGCCTTCTTGAGCCGAGAAACAGTCAAAAACTGGTCAAAAACGAGTGTTTCTGACCACTTTTTAACGCTTTCTCTGGAGCGTTTTCAGCGGATAGCTCGAAGCGAGGGACTCGCAGAGCTTTCCCGACTGGAAAATCCGCCGAATGAAAAAGGCCACTGCGCATGAAGGCTATTTTCATTGTGATTTTCCGTAGCATTTCTAAGGCGCAATGATAAAAAATCTTGGCTAGTGCTATTTTCGAAATACGCGCTTTGAAATTTTCTTAGTAAATGCAACTTTTCTATTGATCTTGATCCACTTTTTATTTATTTGTACATTGAATCGGTGTTGATCGGTTCACGTTTTTATTTTTCGTTCGAATCAAGTCGATCGAATACATGCCCTCTCTTTACACGCACACTTCCTTTCATACTCTTTTTTTTAACCGAAAAATTCGCCTCGTGCTGCGTCTGCGGCAATTGTTGTTACGAGTATGCGGTGCGTGCTGGTTTCAGGTAGATACATACTCGACTCTTTGAAGGCGTTTTGTGTGCGAGAGCAATTCGCCAGTTCTCCAACAGGGTACGCCACTTGCGCACATAAACGCCTTCACAGAGTCGAGTATGTAATGACCTGAAACCAGCACGCACAACATATTCGTAACAACAATTGCTGCAGACGCAGCTGAAGGCGAATTGCTCTCGCACATAAAACGCCGGCCGTCAGAGATTCGTGTATGTAATGACCTGAAACCAGCACGCACAACATATTCGTAACAACAATTGCCGCAGACGCAGCTGAAGACGAATTTTTCAGTTAAAAAAAAAAGGGTATGAAAGGAAGTGTGCGTGTAACGAGAGGCAATGTATGATCGACATGAATCGAACGAAAAATGAAAACGTGAACCGATCAACACCGATTCAATGTACAAATAAATAAAAATCGGATCAAAATCAGTGGAAAAGTTGCATTTACTATGAAAATCTCAAATCGCGTATTTCGAAAAAGGATCAGTCAAGAATTTGATTTTTCGCAATTTTACGTGTACACGTACCATAGACTTGCCCCCTGCAAACCATTTTTGGATACATTTTTGTCGCTTTTTTTTTTATCTTTTAGAAAAAAAAATCTCCGCAGATTTTGAATTTTCAGCAAAAAAAAGGACGAAAGCCCCTGCGCATGAGTCTAAAGAATCATTCTAAACCCAAAAATCGGCAAGATTAAGAGAAATGATAGCAGAATAGTGTTTGGAAAAAAACCTCACTTTCGATACAGAAATCGGTCAAGGGTCAATTCCAAGCGAGCTTACTTGGTTCCGACCCTATCGGCGAAATTTCCATTTTGACCCGAAACATTTAGTCCATGTTATCCGTGTCGATTTTTCTCGATTTGGGACGGAGAAAAATATTCGAGATTTCAGTCGCATCCTACGTAGTTGGAAGCGTAGAATCGATACCGCACGGTCCCGACTCTCGGGGAGGCTTCCTGAGCCGAGAAACAGTAAGAAACTGGTCAAAAACGAGTGTTTCTGACCACTTTTTGACTCTTTCTCTGGAACAATTTCAGCGGATAGCTCGAAGCGAGGGACTTGCGGAGTATTTCCGACTGGAAAATCGCTCTCAGCGGGTTAATTCCAAGCGAGATTGCTTGGTTTCGGCCCGATCGGCGAAATTTCGATTTTGACCCTAAAAATTTAGTCCATCTAACCCATGTAGATTTTTCTCGACTTTTAGCGGGGAAAAAAATTTCGAGATTTCAGTCGTTTCACTTGTTCACACGTTTCAAGCGTTTCACTTGTAAAAGCGGCGGATTCACTTGAAAATTCAATAGAATTTGCCTTGTACTAATCAAAGCACAAAAATCCGCACAACCCTTTTCATGTAAAAAATTTTCTTGCCCAATGAAATGTGAGAATAGCTGATGTGGCCTTGGTTCCCTTCAGCCTAATGCAGTCCACTTCTTACAGTTCTTTGCATATGAAAATGAAATGTCGCATATTTGAGGGGATTGAAGGACAAGGTAAATAATATAAATAGAATTTGTCAATAGAAAAATCGCCATTTTTCGCCTGGGACCATCAACATCTGAGCGATTATCCTCAATCTTATCGCCTGGCGATTGATTTCAATATTATCAAAAGAAAATCGCAAAATATGGCGATTTTATCCAGCAAAAAATTGCAATGCATAGCAATTTAATCGCCATTTATAGAAACTTTTCATTCGATATGGTCATGAGAAATTGCCACCGATATGATCGCGATAACCAACCGATAAAATCGCTTTTTATCACGATCACTGCTACTTTAGTGGGAAGTGCAGTTTTTGGAAAAATTGAGACATCAAGAATTTCAAGTGAAACCAGTCTTTATGCATATTCTGTGAAAAACTACTCAATGTTAATTCTTCAAAACTTCGACGATCATTCTTCTCTGTGTGAAAAAAAATTTGTGAAAACTTCAAGGAATGATATTAGTTTGTTCTCCTCCACAAAAATGATGTGGGAGCGGAGATTTTAAAACATTGCAAACAAGATATGTAGTCTAGTAGTTTCACCAATGAAATGGTTCCTAGGTGAGAAAACTTGAGCTTTCTTGAGTTGATACATAATTTCTTAAAACTCCGAACTGAATTAGCCATCAATTGACACTAAGGGCAAATAATAGAACGTTCTGTTTAAAAAAATATCAATACATTTATTATTTCTCCTTTTTTATCTTTCATGAGTTTATCCAAGGTTTTTTTTTTCTTTCTTTCAGTAGAAACTAAAAATAAAAACAGATAATAATATCCAAAATGGATGGAATATAAAACAGAAATGCTTAAACAATAAGTTATAAATGCAAACAAATGTACAATTCGAATTCATCTTTCAGCTTTGTATGGATTGCAGTTCATGAGACCTTCGACTAATACATCAAATTAATGTAAATAATTTCGAGCTTTCTTCAGCTCATTTTATTCATGACATTTACTTTTCTACCTGAAAAAAAAATAATTGATAAAGAGTTTCAGTCTATACTTTGCCAAATCTAAAGCAACAATCACAAAATTTGAGATTTTTTGTAAAGCTGGGAGAGTAAGTAAAATATAATATTGGTAATCATCAAAATTAACGACGTCTGGCAATCATAGTTTTTAAATGATTGCATTGTTCTTGGCAAGTTGAAGTTAAATCCAGTCTTGAAATATTCTTAGGCAAGATTCTGGCTGAAGTTAAGAATGATCAGCAATAAAAAAATTGCATTTTGCGTTTGAGATAGTATAATATTACAGAGAACCGCACATGTTTAAAAGAGTACTGTCACCCATGGTACTGTAAAGTAGGCCAGTGGCCTGATCATTGAAATATTGTGTTTTTTGATTGGACAAGATAGGAGTGATGTGATTGTCAGTTGTGTCAGTTGTTTCCTTTATCATTCTTGTGTCAAAGGAATTTAATAAATACGAACGGCAACTCGAGAGGTGCCTTAAGCTTCTTGTCGATTCCACCCGACATAAGCACAACAAAGAGAACAACTGACAAAGCCAACCAATCACATAACCTCATTTTCCCTTCGTCTTGTCTTGTCTGGTTGACACACAAAAAATATCTGAAATCAGGCTGCTGGTAGACTTGCTATTTTGCTGATGATTTAGCGTGTTTAATCAAAAATATTATTTCATCTGAATCTTTCCAGAAGGCACTTTTGTACTTGACATTTAGAGCATTACATTTCATCAGAGTTCAGGAGGTAAAAAGGTTCTGTCCTTAAAACTAAAGTCAGCTGAAAAAATTCATTTGATTGATCAATGGAAACGGTGATTGCTTAAATTTATAAAAGGAATGATTAATTAAGTTTCTATTGAAGAATGAATGGAAAAGTTTCGCGGGAAAAAGTAAGGTGGAAAGTCATTAAAATTTAAAAGTTAAGATTAAAAATTTATAAAGAAAAAAAATAAGTTAGAGATCTAACTAGTGTTTGTCAAATAGTAAAATATACAGGGAGACACTCCTCTGTATGAAACAATGATTCTTCGGGTAATTTTGCAGCTTAAATAAACAAGGAGGTTGATGCAATCGTTTGTTATTCCTACTTTGCTCAAAGAGAAAACAGCAAGAAAAAGAGATTGCTCACATCACATTCAAAAGTGACGGGGCTCAAAACGTACATGGATGAATTTGATTTAATTGTATTCGGCCGAATTCTTTATTTTGAGATATCGGTTCACCTCTGTTCGATAAAAATACAAAATTTTGGCTGAAAAGGACTCTTCAGAGTTCACTGAATCCATAGTGTTCGATCATTTTAGCATATTGAGGCACAGTTTCAGTAACTTATCAACTTAACAATACAAAAGGCGGACTAGATTCCTGAATCCTTGATAAAATCTATTTTTGAATAGATGATCTCAGCCACCTCGGCCAAAAATATGAGGCGAGATAGGAATTTGATTTTTGACAGCTCAACAAAACTAATAAAAAAAAGAAAATCATTATTAACACATGTACAGTAATATCACTTACTTACTAAAGAGAAAAATAAAACTAGATAAAAAATACCATCAAAGATTTTCTTCTGCTTTAACTTGAAAAATCAGCTTCAGCAGTCAACAATAAATAAACCAAATCCCTTTCAGGGTCATGTTTGTTGACAGTAAAAAAAAGCCTACTAACAAGTACAGTCACAAAATAAAAATTTTAAACAAAGATATGGCATTTTTCATTTATTGAAGGTTTTTATCCGTGTAATTTTTTATTTACTTTTTATTTCTTATCGGCGTAGTGGTCGAATCTTGAGCAGACATTATTAACAAACTTAAAATTAGTGCGAGCCATTTACAACTGGGATAGGGGGTGAGTTGTTATTTGATAGATTATGGTTATGAGCCCATTTCTTCTGAAGCGGGTCTGCGCCAAAACCTTCATCGTAGTTGCCCTTGGAGATGAATAACTGCTTGAAGTGAGGCAAACAGTACAGGTAGCCATTATTGAACGTGTAAGATTCGATTCTGAAACAGAGAGAAAGAAAATAAGAACTCTTGCCAATCATTGAATAAATAAGGTTTTTGAGTTTTTAACGAGAGCTGAATAGGGTTGGCAATTTTTCACAGCTGTTTGAAACCTCCCTCTGTGCTTGCTGCCTTCCAATGCAATCACATTTGAAAACTTAGAGCTTTGAATGAATGAAAGAATTATTGTCTCTGAAGGCTAACGACAACCGCTGCAATCATACATCCTCACTTAAACCATTTTTAAAATCATAAAGCATCATTGTTAAAAAAATTCTTTTTTCCAGCTCCATAATTGCACTGACACCGAAGTCAGGGTCAGAGGTTGTTTTGGGCAGAGGTAAAGGAAGGTGAACTAAGGAACTAGAGATAATATGTATGTTATGTTGATAAATAATGTTCAAATAGATGCACAATTATGCAAGCACTTCATTTTCCATACGAAGACTTAAAAAGCCATTGTATTTTAACTGATCATCTGTGTAACATGTGTCCTGCTATGTTTATGTTAAGTTCAACCATCCTGAAATTTCTAGCTAGCAAGAAATAGTAGATGCATTAACGTACATGCTGATGACACACTGGGACATTTTAGTCCCACACAAATAGAATTCGGATTCAGAAAAACTAATTTTTCTAGAATTTTGTGAGACCAAATTTGAAAGTCTACACATGGTTAGAAATCGAACAGTGGCTTCACAATACTTTTTGCCAATTGTCTCTACATATCTTAATTTAAGTTATATAAAATAGGAGAACTTGTTGTTAATATCAGGATGACTCTCGTATATCCATCAGAAACTAGAAAACAAATTTTCAGCCCCAAAAGTTAATTATAATGAATTTTCATTACCTTAAAACGCAATGGCACTGCGTACATCGGAAACAGTACTTGTGAAAGATCTTTCCGTCTGTTTCGATTTTCTCTAGTTGGTAGACTTTTTTCTCACAGAGGTTACAGAGAGTGGGTGGAGCTTCAGGCTGGAAAAAAAGAGTAAAATATAGATGATAAAATGTAAAGCATATTAAAATTTGATTGAGGAAAGATTATAAAATGAACTGCCATGTGCACTAAAAAATTTTAGAACATGGAGTAAAATAAGAAATGCTTCATTCCGTATTAATTTGGAAATGGGTTATGGAAGAATGAAACCATAAATAGGGTCATCTGACTATTAAAACTGTCTTCTACAGTGTCTGATAAGCAAAACATTTCGTGAGATAATAAAAATGTATCGATTATAAAAATAAGATTCAACATTGCGAATATTATTGCATACAAAACAGCATTTCCATCAAGATTTTATTCAGCGTAATCAAAGAAATAATAAAAGAGCGGGGGCAAGAACTGTATGAAAATAACCGTGACAAAACCGAAAATTTAACAAGATCATTTTTAAAAAGAGGAAAAGCTAATCAAAAGCCGACAGCCGAGTTGACGTAGCAAGATGATGCTTGAAACGTGGTTCCGCCAACCAGCAAATGCAGTTTCCCCTCTCTGGCAAAATATTGATTGTGAACGGGTTCCATTTTGGGAATTTTCAAAGCAAGGTTTCTTTGCCATTTAGTGTTAAAAATACGCTGTAAAAATTCTTGGATTAGATCTCTCCATACCTTTGATAATACCCCAAAACCTGTTGTATTTTTTTCTGAAATAAAGGCAAGAAGTCCACAGTTTAAAGATTCAACATAGATGAAAACCCTAAAAAACCATCTAAGAGTTTTTTTACCCCTTTCACTTTGAGCCAGCAATAAAAAAACAATCAATGGTAAAACAGCATTGGTATCATTATGTGTTGATTCTGAATTTCAAAGCTGTAGCAATGTAAAGTGAAAAAGCAGAGAAAATATTTAGGTTGATTTTAAATTTTTTTAAGTGAGTGAAATTTTCCGCAGTTAAAATCAGTATGAATGACCCATATTGTACACCGCATTATGAGAAAAAGTGAGGATTAGTGAGAAATTCTGAGTATCACCTAGTATTTTGAACTTGTTTTTGATTGCTTTTTTCTACGTTTCCCCATCTAAAGGTCATCTCATCTGAGTGATTTTTCAAGTTTATGACTAGAACTCTACCAATAAAAAAAATTCAGATTAGAGAGGAAATTATGGTATGCACCCATCCTCTGTAATGAATACACATGGTTTGGCAGTCTTGGAAGGGCTTGAGAGGGAAAACGGGCGAAATCCTCTGAATTCTAAATAATGCTATGAAGAGAAAACCGTGCATTGAGGAAAATATTACAAAACAGGTCTTGGATCATTAAATTCTTCCAAAAGAGCTTGATACCTCAATCTTTAAGCTGCATAAACCATGATATGCAATAATAAAGGAGGCAATTAAAATAGTAGTTTTAAGCCATGTTGTTCCTAAAATAATTAAATATGATAAAGATAAATAGAGATCAGATGAAAGGCCAGAAAAAAGAGAAGTGATAAATAATCAAAAATTTTAATACATGATACAAAATAGGATATCTTCCATCAATTTAGAATCATGGACACTGGAACAATTCTCATGACAAAACAATACAAGATCAATCTGATAAATTTGATGGAGATTTAAATAAAACAATGTTAAAAATTGGTGAACGACAAAAACAGTTTACAAATTAAAGAGAAGTCAGCAACAATTACATCTATTCTTAAACATTAAGTGATTTTTTCCAACTATGCTCTCCTTTTGAACAGCCAGATAAATGGCAAGAAAATTTTGGTAAAAAATAGATCATTCAACTCAAGATTGAATTTATACTTTCCAAGAAAAACATAAGTGCAGGCATCATACAAGAAAGGGGAAAAAATTTAGATTAACTTTAATGCCTTGTTTATACCCCCATAATCAAGGAATAATAGAAACATATCAACTAGACAAAATGGATTAAACTTACACAAAAACTCTCATATGAATTTGAAACCTTCCCCGAATAATGCGATAGTAAAATTACAAACAACAATAACCTTTGACTTACAAACAGCAACAAGGACCTCTACTCGCAAATACATTATTCAATAAAATAATTGATACTTATGACTAAGGTTTTTCATTTTCACACACAGTAACTGAGACAAGAGACATGTCACAACGCTTTAAAAGAGATGTCAAAATTCCCCGGTTTCAGCGATGAAGAGGGAGACGGGCATCTTGCGGAAAAAATGAAGCTGAGATTCTCTAAATATTGGCAGATCTTGTCTTCCAAATTTACTGAAATGAAAAAAAAAATTCTAATGAAGTGAAGGGTAATTTTGCTTAGGCTTTGCTATGCTGACGATACCACTTAAGTGTAAGTGGGGTGTATTGCAATCAGTGGCAATTTTGGAAGTTGGCAACACTAATTTTCCTCCATTTAAATTCATTGAAAATATCGATTTCAGGTGAGGCAAGCTGCCTCATGAGGAATCGATTATTTTACATGCATTTAAATGGAGGGAAAACAGTGTTGCCAATTTTCAAGAAACGCCACTGATTTAAATCGAAAAGAACCATCTCCACTGAGACCTGAAATTTTCCATAGTAAGATATACCAAGATTATTACAGTGCTCGATTTGACTCGAGTAGACTAAGGGTTTTTTTTGGGTAGTGAATGTGAATTAACAAGGATAAAAACTGTTATTATCACACTCATGGGTTGATAATGTGGAAAGTTTTGACACTTCCATCATGTTCTACGTAAATTTTGATAAGGAACCACGTATTGTGGTTCTGAATTTGAACCAATGTCGGGTGGTCCATTGAATGATATTTTGAATAATCGAATGAATAGGAAAAATTGAAACCGCAACTATTGTTGACTGTATGGATGTAATGTTTTGTCCTTCACTAATAATTTCTGAGAAAATAGTTAACATTCATACGTTAAGAATAAAATCGCTAAAAATTTAAAAACTCAATCTTTCCTTACTTAATTATTTGTCCAGGTTGCACTATTGCTGCTGAAGACGGAGGGCAGCAGACCCTCTGAAACGTCGTCCGGACAAATAATTAAGTAAGGAAAGATTGAGTTATTAAATTTTTAGCAATTTTATTCTTAATTTAAGTATTCTTTCCTTGTTTTTTAGCCTAATTTCCATTATTATTTTAATTACATACTAGTCCTGAATGGTGTTGTATTGAAAGACTTACAATTTTACTTGAAGAAAGTAAGGAATAGGATGAAAATAAAACTTACCTTGGCAACGAAAAATAGGTCATGCTTTAAAGTCATCGTGCAAATTAGTATCACAGCACAAGTTAAAAACACAAAAGAGAAGGAAAACTTAGTCGGTTATTATAGGACATAAAAAAATTGCAAAAATGTGGCAGTAGAGTCTTGGAGCTAACAATTTTTGTATAAAAGCGGTAATATCAAAGATTTAACTATTTACTACAGCATTAAGTACAAATAAACGGAGGTAAAGTTAAAGTTTTGTGAAAATGGATGGGAAATTATCCCTCTCACACTCCTCCTCCCCCACCCCTCGTCCTTCACCTTCATGGGAGATAACTTTTAAAAGCATACTGAAAAAGTGAACTGCAATAATGCATATTTCAGTTGCGGTGTTTCAAAATTTCAACTCATATTTTATTTTTTAAGAGGAGACTGTCCCACCATCATGTCTTGAAATTTTCACGGAATATTTTTCTTTTAGAACAGAAAAATCACCAAAGTTTTCGAGATAAGACGTTCAGTAGTTTTCCTCGTAGAAAAGAAAGTATGACATGAAGTCTGAAACGCCGAAAACCGCAATATGCATTTTAGTAGTTTCACCATCAATATTACACTCCAACGCATCCTAAAATGCAAGGCTCAAACAATGAGCATATTTGGATGGAGTATTGAAAGGAAGGATGGTGCACTTGAGGATGAGAAAAAACAACATATAAACATTGAGAACAGAAATTCAAAATTGCTGTACAATGGTTGAAAATTGCTTATGCTCTTGTTTTCAAAGCATCAAAATTTGGAATTCTAAATTAACAGATTTTGAAACCGGAGGAACTTTTTAATATTTAGAGCCCGGATGCTCAAGCTTGTATCAAAGCTTCAAGGGATGGAGTTGCAATTTATTTGGCTATTTTTGAAGTTCTGATAGGAATTTAATGATCTTTGAGCATCTTAAGAAAATTATTAGACTTATGACAGACCAAAAGTAAAGAAGATAATAACCACTTCAAAGGATGTCATTGAGGAGGGGGCACATATATTGCTTACACAAAGGATATTTTGATTTAAATCAAAACGAAGATATAATGAGTGAAAACAATGGATTGAAGGCTTCACAATCGAAAGCTTTACAAACATATATAAAGCGATATTGTTCAGCGGTGTTCGTGGGGTGCGAGTGTTTGATACTCATCCGCAGAAATTATTTCAGCGAAATATATTAAAAGTTTCATTACAATTAAATTGGAGACCGTTGAGCTTCGGTCAGAAATTTTTCAAAGACAATTCATTTGTCCTCTCCTTGAAAACCACAGTGAAACTCCTAATATTGGGAAAGCTGGGCTACAGAAACTTAAATCTCATTTACCTATCAAACTGAAATTCCAACTCTACCACTTCCTTCTTTCTGAAGAAAAAACCATCTGCATACTGAAATTCTTATGACTCCATTCAATTGTTTCAGACTGTTTTGGAAAACATCCAAACCACCCAGCAGTGCGGCAAATTAATTGTTTCCAAAAGAAGGTGCAAGCAGACATGGATTTCATACTGAGTAAAGGGAGACACTTAGTCTTCATAACAAAGACATACTCCGGTTCAGATCTTTCTACGTAACGAAACCATTGAAATCTATTCTCATGAAAAAATCTTTTTTTCGTGCCTCTATGTCAATTTAGCGAACCAGCATTTTCTGGAGGGGGTTCAGTTCCCCAGCTTTGAGGTCAAAAACTAAACAAGGATTTTCATTTGTAGTTTTAACGCTACCCTTTGCAGGAATTTATAACCGGTATATTACGATTAATTTGTGGCGTATTAACAGGTAGCATTAATATCACGCAGGAAGACGTTAACTACTCACTGCATTACGATGTTAGTCAAATGTGACTGGCATAGCCTGACAGAAAACACTGCAACCAGTCATATCTGACAAACATGGTGTGGGAAAAAAACAAGTTAAGGCTTAACAACTTGATGTATGGTCAGAGAGCTAATAAAACTGGTTGTCTCAATTTAAGGTGAGATACACCCATCCGCAGGTGCGAAAATATGGATGGCCAAAGTGCAAAACTACATACCTCCATTATGGTGTTACAAAATTTCCTCTCATATTTGATTTTTTCAAAGAAAAACAAAGCAACTTTAGAGTTTGAAATTTATGCAGAATATTCTGCCAACAGAGAAAAAAAATCAAGGCGGTTTTTTAGAAAATGCACTGACTAGTTTTTCAAAGAAAGAAAAATAAAACTTGACAGGAAGACTGTAACGTAAAAAACTGGAGATACATTGTTTCACATTTTCACCATTGATAGAAAAAAAAAATTGCCACATTGATTGGCTGTTAAAAAGTAAGTGAAAATCCAAGATTGGGCACTGTTTACCCCATCTAGGATTACAAATTTTCTGGATAAAAAATTGGCTAAAATTTTGAAAAACATCAGCAAGTTCATGAAACTATGTTCGCAACATGTTACTGTTTGAATTTGCAACCAATTTTAAACAGGAAAGCAGTCAAATACAGCACTTGATCTTAAATTCTCATTCTAATTCAGCTCCATGTATGAGCTTTATACCACAAGTGCATTATTTTTTTTATATTGTCAAAACTCTTGCAAGGAAGATATATCCTCACCTTAAATATTCATAATACTTAACCATACATTATTTTGCAAGTTGAAAAAATTATAAGCACATTATTAACAGAGTTAGACTGATGAATATAATTATGGAACCGGTGAAAAGACATGCATAATAGAAACAAAGCACAGAATCTAGAACTTACGATGAATCTGTTCACTCGGGGGCGAGGTTTTTCAGAGGGCTGTTCGGCTTTCATGCTCTCGAACCTTGCTCGTAGATTTTTGGTTGGCTCGATGCTAGCCTGGTCTGAGTCCAACAAGTTGATGGCATTGTTGACTGACTGTTTTTCTGGTTCCCAATGCTCGAATTTTTCCTTCAACGCTCGAGCTCGTACAGCAGCTTTTCGAGACTAAACATATGGATTATCAACAGATGTCAATACCTTAGAAATTTACAAAAATTAACTTTTCCTCATCAAAATTTTTGAAAAATAAAATAAAATAAAATAAAAAGTTTGAGTTTTCAGGAATCAAATGTACATGCATTTAAATGATTAAACATAATGTAACACCCGCCATTCGTACAAAAATGAACTACCATTTGCAACTCATTCTTTGAGAATGTTCTCCATCAAATTGACAGATTCTGTTCTTCAACTAGGCTTTTATTTTCTTGGAATTTTCCGATTTCCAGACTTCCCTTGACTTTTTATGCTTTCCCCTGACTCCAACATTTCCGAATTCTCTGACTTTCAAAAAAACATTGAAACTTAAAGGACCCTGCACACCTCTTATGGGAAGCTGCACCATGACCGATTGCCTTCTGACTTATGTCATTCGATTCTCCTCAAGATGCTGATCAAAAGTTATAATTGCGCCAACTTTCTACGATGCACCGTTTTTGCAAAAAATCAAAGAGAAGATTCAATTATTCGGCCACTATGAATAAAAAAGAACAAAGCGTTTGAGAACAGGCCCGATGTAAATGAGGAAAAAACGTAGCTCGTGTCCGTCTTCTTATCTGTACCTGCCGACTCAGGGGCTATCTCCCTCCCGCACTTGCCCGGTAGACGTTCAGACTTTCCTGTTCTTATGCTCCTCAAGAATGTGATTTGGATGGTCGAGCAAAACGGCGTGCGGAATCTGTGATAAAACTGCCGCTTGGTGCGGGAGTTTGCATGATCTCCTTGTTGACACACAGCCGCTTGTCAATCGGGCACTGAAATGAGGAATCTTTCTGGCTTTTTATTGCCGAATAATTGAATCTTCTCTTTGATTTTTTGTGAAAACGGTGCATCGTAGAAAGTTGGCGCAATTATAACTTTTGATCAGCATCTTGAGGAGAATCGAATGACATAAGTCAGAAGGCAATCGGTCATGGTGCAGCTTCCCATAAGAGGTGTGCAGGGTCATTTTTTTTTTTTATTATTTCGATTACACTATCACCAAACTTTGGAAAAAATGTCCACTTCTGGAGATTCAAATTAAGCAAAAAGGCAATCACAGATTGTTCTCCCTCTCACAAACAGCACCGCCTGAAGTTGCTGAGCCGAGGTACTCCTCGCAAGATTCCCTGAATTTTCTTCATGAGTTCTCTAGCCGTTCCTGACCTTTCCACACCCAGGTTAATTCCCCAAATTTTCTAGTTATCCAGACCGCCATAGGAACCTCGTTCACCCACCTTGAAAAATTTGCCTTGAGGCTTTAAGGTCCCTTTCTGAGGTCTTTTTTTAAGGTCCCTAAGGAAGGTCTCATACTGATGGTGGAAATACCAGATGAGTGATCTCAATTGCTGTGTTTGAAAATTTCCTGCCACAGAGTTAAAATGTTTGATTTAAATCGGTAGATGTGACTTGTTAAGAGAATTTTGGGTACGTTTTTGGAACTTTAATTATGACAGTCACTCATAAGGTACCGAAAGGCTAGTTTACCTGCTGCAAGAACTCGTCTTCAATTTGGTCTGAAGCGCGGATGATATTTCCATTGACCAGCTCTTCCTCACTTTCCTCCTCTTCTTCTTCTTCCTCACTTTCTTCCTCCTCGCTTTCTGAGTCCTTCTCTTTGTAGTCCGGAGGGGGGGTGAACCTTTTCAATGGTTTCGGTCCTAAAAAGGGAAAGACATGAATAAATCGCAATAATTGGAGGATTCTGTAACTTGAGAAAAAGAAAATCTACCAACTATGTTGCCATGCTAGGGAACGGGCCTATGAGCCTTCAAGATTTGCCAAATTGCAAATTTTCGGGTAAATTTAAGATTATTTCTCTTCCGATTTTTCAAAGGATTTTGTTCAAAATTTAATCCACAAAGTCTGAAAATTTTAAGGAAAAATATTCATAAGTTTCTTTAAAAAGACATATTATCCAGAAGGAAATTTGGCAACATCCGAATGCTCAAATGGCGTTTTGATAGCACTGCACGGCAATAACTTACAGCTATCTGACCCGAAACATGCCTAAAATATGAAGTGCCTTCCTTACAGTCATATGAAGGTTTGCATGACAACGAAAGTGAAATGATTTCCCAGGTTTACAAATCATGTCTAGGTGATAATACTGATATATGGACTTATGAAACTCTAAAAAAAAGACAAGTTTTCTTGATTTTTAAAACGTTCTAACTTTGTCCTGATTTGTCAAGCTTTTAGAAGAAAATTGTGTGTTTTTCTGACTTTTCATAGGTGTTTGACTTTTACAAGGAAAAGCTTTTCACAAACTCAATTTAGCGTAGAGTTAAAACTCTGCCAATACAGAGCAAAAGTTAAATCAGATTCATTTAAAAATCAAAATAAGATGAAAAAATCGACGTTAGATTGGAGATTCTCTGACTTGTGGTGACTGGTCCAAATTTTCCGATTTCTAGAATTTTCCTAATTTTCCATGAACCTGTTAGCCTACTTAAGACTATAATGGTTCTTGTTTGAACAACCTATGGGGTCAGGCTGCCCTCTCCAAGTGGAAGAATCCCAAGAAAAGTTTTGAGATGTAAAACCACTGTCATTAGTTGCGAAGTCTATGAATTTGAAGGCTTTGAGATTACATTTTCTTTTTGGTTTTATGCAATTTTCACTGACTCCTGCCAAATAGATTGTAAAATTCTGGGGGAAAAAACTGCAACTAATGTTTATATGACAAGTTGAAAAACTCACCATCAGGTACAGTGTCTTTAGCTTCCTCCATTTGTCTGAAGATGGACAGCATTTTTGAGGTTGTTTGACTTTTCATCAATGCATTGTCTGCCTCATTACTGACTGGGTCATCGGCACGAACAACATTAGGATCACGAACGATTTCTCTATCAGGTGATTCAGACTAAACAAGAACAAGAACTTAATTACATATTTTTATTGAACTAAGAAATAAAGAAAACAATACATACTTAAGTTTTATTAAAAAGGAGACACCAATCTCACAAGAAGGAGCATGGAATGAGAAGTAAACAAAGGTTGTGAAATGGGATTCGTGAGGATTTGAAAACCGAATATTTAAATCATTTAAACAAGCGTTTACTGTCCACATTCCTTAATATTTCTGAGACTACTTTTAACAGCTTTTCGGTCATCTTATGCCGCAAGCACACGCTGAATTTAGCAGCTGAATGTGGAAGTCAACAGTCATCGCCCAACGGCTGAACTTTAACAAATTCGAGTTATTTTCATCCAGATGTGTATCAAATCTACTCGAATAGTTCAAACAAATTCAAAATTGGTCCGATGGTTGCTGAGAATGGTTGCTGAATTTTGCGTGTGACGCGCAAAATTCAGGCATCGGGCCGATGACTTCCACATTCAGCGTGTGATAGCAGCAATAGAGGCTGGTGAGATTTCTTCAGGAAGTTTCAGTGGATTGAAAATAGGAGCATTTACTTACTTACGAGCACAAAAAAATGACACAAACTACAAGGAAAGATTTGATAGAAGAAAAGAAGAAAACGAATCGCACATTACAGAAAAATAGAAAACAGGGAAGCAAAGGGACTTTTACATTACCTTGGGTCCGTTTTCCCGGGGAGGAGTTATTCTAAATGTTCTGCGTTTAACTTCAGGTGCTTTGTACGTCTCAAAAAATTTGAATTTCGATGAAATGTCTGACGTTTCCACTACTACATCCTCAACCTTATCACTAGATTTTACGATATCATCCGAAACTTGGCGATTAACATTCATCTAGACAGAAGTAGAAGACCCAACACCAAATTATAAAGCAAAATCATAAAATAATAAAGAAGGCACACAAAAATAAATAAGTAAATAAAAAAAAACTACACATAAAATGAGGGCAAACAGAAAAATGGAGCATATAAGGATATTCATAGACCTATAATACCACAAATTAATTCTGGGAAACGTTAAAAAAGGACAGTTTGTAGGAATCCCACATCAATCTGTTGGATTAATCAAACATTGATATTTGATCTTTTATCTGTGATAAATCATCACCTTCTAACCGAAGTATCCCAAGCGCCATGTACATTCAAATGCTATGTTACCGAATATTGTTTCAATTTTTTCTTTATAACTTTCACGCATACTTTCATGAAATTTCAGAGATCAATTTTAAAAACAAAAGAAATATTAGATCAAATTTTCAAGTGATTCTATTCATTAGCTTATTTGCAACAAATTGGACAAATATGAGAAGATTGGCAACATTGTGCCTCAGCAAAAATGGAGTATGTGATACTTTGACTAGAAGGTGACAAAATTTTCTAGAAATGTATTCTTAGATAAAAGGATGAATTTCATGTAAATGCTCATTCATAAATAAAATTGTAATTTCTTTCATGTTTCGAGAGAAATTACGTATAACTTTAGTGATGGTAACATTATTTTTTGATCATGGCTTTGACGAATATATAACTTGGATTATTTCAACCGGAAAAAGCTTTAAAATTCTCAAAACAAAATGAATACACGTAATTTGCTGAGGCAAATTTTGTATAAAATATGAAGTAAAGTAAAATATGACATAACCACCGATCGTGTTGTAAAAATGTTAATTAGTTTTATCCGAAAATTATCTTTTGTCAACGAATCTGGGGGAAAAGTAAAAAAGATTGGTTCACAAAGATCAGGAATATAAATCTATGGAGATTTTAAAATAATGACTTGAATAGACATCAATTCCTCCACCATATCAAATTTGAAAAAAAATGTAAAGGAAGAAAGAGAGGGTAACAAGAAGAAGAGTTGAGAACATATTGACTCACAGGTTTGACTACTTTCTTGGATTCCTGGTGAATAGGTGAGATAGGAGACAATGGTTGACTCGACTGAGTTTTGGCAACATTAGCGTCCATTTCCAAGAATAAACTACGTGACTTTTTACAGATGCCTGTAACAAAGTACAAAACGTTAAAATTTGAGATGCTCGTAACTTGCTCAATTCACATAAAGACCTGATTTTAGGAAAAACAGTAGAAGTAATTAATGAAAAGTCAATCTAATACTTTTTCAGTTAATTTTGCTGTTTCTAAGCTCATTCTATGCTTAAAATGCAGCATTGAGCGCGAATAATTCGGCAATTACTGAAACTAGTGCAGCAAATTGACTAGATGCTCAGTCCTCAGAAATCTCTACCTAATAAGATAGATCGATTTTATCAAACTTGTTAATATATACATCGAACTTATTAATTATAAATTCAAAAATGAAAAGAGGAAAATAAAAAAGGTGGCTCAAATGCCTCTGTCAGATCATCATGTTTGAGCACATAAATAGTTTTCTACATCAAGCAGTGAAGATGTACTTTTAACAGCATATAATCTCCGTGAGAGCCCCCACTGAAGATGGAGTAAAGAAAAGAACTGTGGAAAAAAGAGCAAGACTGAAAATAGTTAAGTTGATAGAGTTCTGTTAGTTTCAAATGAGGACTGCTTTTCGATGGCTAATAAACAGTCTAGCTTAACTGCTAACTGACAATTTTGCAGAACGAATAGAAAACTTTGCCACTTTTGTAATTTTAAGATTAGGATTTGCAATTTTTTCATACATTACAGTGTCATTGAAGCGCTCCCCTACTGAATCGGAAAAAAACTGAAATCATCAGCTAGCGTATTTTATACTGTATATTTCAGCGAAGTCGCCCGCTAATTTTTGCCAAAATTGTCAGTTAGATGGTATTGTTCGTTAGATCTCGTTTTGGTTTTAAAGAAAAAATTTGAATGTTACCAATGCTTAGAACCCAAGCTGATTAGACAAGTTAAAAGCTTTCAGATTACACACCGGCCTCAAAGACGCTCAAGTCATCCTCTTTGAGTTTGGCTTTAGAGTCATCATCTTCTTCTCCTTCTTCATCATCATGGTTCACTTCCCCACGCTCGAATCTTTCTCTCATCGCGCGTGCCTTTTCGCTTTTCAGAATCTCAAGATCGCTATCCCGCCTTCCAGTTTTGGCGTTTTGCTCGCTCTCTGCCACAGCTTGCTCATACAGTTCCTTCATTTTTCCTTGTTTACCCTGGAGGAGAAAAGGGAAAATATATGATAGTTTGAATGAGGCTTGAAACAAATTTTTTTTTAAAAAAAACAACAGTAGGAAAAATCAAAAGATCCTCATTGGTCCTCTTTTAGAATTGACCAAGTAATGGTAACGCTATCTGTCCTACAAAATAGAAAAGTTGATTCTCTTTTCATGAAACAGAATTGCTGAAGAGCGTGAACAATTGGCAATTTGAAGTTTTGCTGATCATATTCTCTTCACTCAAAATCTCTGAGACACATTTTTACCAATTCATCATGAAACTTTTAGAATTGCAAATTGACAGTATTGATTTTTACTCCAGGAATACTAATTGAAGGGTATAAAATTTCTCCGGGAAGTTATTGTTCCTCATGAACAAAAAGTTGCTGAGGGGGGCAAATTTAAATGATGGTTACAGAGATTAATAATGGTCCCAGGTGCAAAAAAATACATACCATGAGTAAGTGAGAACGTAGATGTGATCTTTCTTGTTTACGTTCTTCTCTTCTTTCTTCCATCAACTGAGCTCTACCAGCATCTTCCCAAGTTTTCTTCACATCACCCATGGCACTGAACTTCATTGGTCGCTCTGAGGTCACAGAACTACGCACAGTGCCAGATTCTGTGAAAATAATTCATACAAACTTATGAAAACAAAAGCATTGAATGAATTGAAATTTTCTATACTATTGGGATGATATGCAACAATAGATTTTGGCTCATAGTTTAATACGGGCTCCTTTCAAACATAAATGTCAGTAGGTAAAGAGGCATAAGTAGAAAAACAATGAAAATTGAATACACCGTAACTTCAAAACTTTCACCTATTTTTCAGGAATTTGAAAAAAAGGTTTTAAATATTACTGTTGAGCATTGCCGGTAAAATTTTTGAGTATCTAGTAAATTAAAAATAAAGTATCTAAAAATGTAATGTATCTTAAATGTGTCTAATGATTAAAAAGGTCAAGCCAGAAGTGTGCAATGTTACAAAAAGGTAGCAGCACGAACTTTGTGATAGTTGTTCCACTTCTTCAAGAAGTTGAGAGAAAATGTTCCAGTTTTTCCACTTTAAATTTGTGTTTACTTATTTATTTAGCATAAATTGGTACAACATTGCTAAGAATAAAAACTGTGATGGTACCAGTCAGTTTACAACATTTGTGGTTAATTTCATGTTAAAGTTATCAGTTTAAAAATCTTCTATGGTAAGTATGTCATGCTTCAAATATGTATGTCAATGCTGAAATACAATTTTGACATTACCTTCAATTCCTAAGTCCCTCTGGTCATTACGATGGTTTATGAGGAGGTTAATATTTTCAGTAAAATTATTCTAATTTCCTAGTTTTATTTGTTCCACTTAGTACATGTCCTAAAAACCCCTGGCTTCTTAAAACAAAGAAATTGTTCAAAACTGATACAATAATAAAAATAAGTTGTAAAATTTTTGCCTATTATTGAGAAATGTTCCGATGGGAACAAAATAATGAAAATTAAAATAGTAAATAAACTACTCAAGATAGACTAACCATCATCGTTTTCGTCACTGGATGATTCTGACTCATCATAATGAACGCCGTTAAGAGATTCATCTGGCACACCGACATCCATTCCTTTAGCTTGGAATCTGAAAGAAAAGAAAGTTAAAGAAATGAAAAAATTGCTTTCCATGTACTAAGTTAATATCATGAGAATAAAATAAAACAAATACTTTTATCATTTTTAAAATTGAATGAAATAAACGGAAAGTAAATTTCTTTATAGCTGTACATTGTTTTACCAATAATTTTAACTTTTTCCAGCTATTAAAAAGTTTTTTGGTTAAGCTCTGCTTCACTTCTGAGTGTCTCGATTGAGGAGAGTTCAGTGCGGGCCAAAAAAATCAGAGGTTTATTGGCGAAGATAACTCTTTTTGGTATTTGATTATTCAAAAAACTTTGAAAAGACTTTCTCTAAACCAGGCAGGTGCTACTGGCACAATTGCAAATTAATTTCTCACAGGAGTGATCTTATGAGCTAGTCATTAAAGTCATACAAAGCAAAGGAACTTACTTCGCTAATTTACTAAGAATACTGGGAGATCGCTTCACACTGATTGTGCTGGGCGATTTTTCAATGTCATTTGATTCTGACGTTGACTTTTCAAAAACTTGGAAACGAGATTTGACGTCTAAACTGCTTAATTCTTCTAGACCAAGATCTGGTTTATCACTTGCTGCAATCAGAGATAAATAAACTCGATCAGAAACAAAAGTCATTCTAAACTTCTATGAATACATAGATACTCATACCGTTTAAGTAAAGGCCTTTCCTATCAGATATCGACAGTGAAACTTCAGGAATGCATATCAAGGTTCCAAATTTCCTGTTATATATGTGTCTCATTCTTTAATGGCAAATAATCAACGTAATTTCTTGAAAATCTCTCTGATCTTCCTTCTCTGAGTTACAGATATTAAACGAAAATTTCAAGCAATCACAATGGTTTGATATCTTCTGACAAAATAAAATCGAAGCAAAGATTTTGAAACACCGCAAACAAGGTAAGCATTCCTGCGGTTTCACCATCAATATGCTCACTTCAAAGGATGTTAAAAATTAATGATCAATTGAATGACATCAACCAGAACAGATTTCAGTGCATATTGACGGTGTGAGTCTGCAATCACATAACTCGGTTTGCGACGTCTCAGACTTCCTGTCATACTTTATTTTTTAAATGGTAAACTACTCAACGGCAATGCTTTAAAACTGCAGTGATTTTTCTTCTCTGTGCGAAGAAAATTCTGCAAAAACTTCAAAGAATTATGTCAAATTGTTCTCCTAAGAAAAAGTATCATGGATGCGGAAATTTCCAGACACCACAAACGAGAAATGTGATTGCAGACTTACGCCGTCGATATATATGTATGCTCTACAAGATGATATTAAATTTTGAGATTTTTATGATTAAAAATTGTATGGAGAATTTTTTGTTCGGTTTTATGAATATAATTGGGGAGAACTCCTGAAGTAGTAAGAGAGGCAAATTTACTGTATTCATCTTTCTTATCCCCATTTTTTGATCCCTCAACAAAAGTAAAGTGGTTTTCATGAATATGAGCTTTCTTGAGAGAGTTCATTTTGAAGAGAGCCAAAATTCATCAATCCTCTAACGTAAAGTTGAATCTCAATTTCCACGTGCACCCTATTGTCCATGTGACTCCATACTTTTGGGGGCTAATGTGGAAATACAAATACGCCCTTGCGACATATTGTACGAAAATACAACAGAATTGAGCGACAGGCAGAGAGGAATTTAAGGCTCAAGCTTGTAAAACTCACACAAAAATTTTCAACTTTTCAAGCGCAAAATTTCCTTGAATGAAACCTGACAGACGACCCTAGTGATCTCTAATTCCAGGAAAAAATATGGGATATCTTGGTTGAGCCATGTTAATAATAACTATCAGCACACGATTATATTTCAACAAGGCAAGGCACGTTTCAGCTGGATCAATTTTTTCCTTCTTCCTCACGGCTATTTTCAACCGTGAGTACTACAAATTCCTCAGAGAGCAGTGACACACAGCAGTCACAATATATTCATCTCCATTTTGTGCGCGTGTGTGAAAAGTCAACAGCTGAGACAGATTACTAGCCAAATTTATATCGTCGCTGACACATCGACCCCTATCAAACTGAGCTCATGAATAGGAGGACCCTCAGAATACTAGATCCACACATCAGACTTTTCTCAATTACATAATTGGAGTTGAAAAAAATAAATCAGATCAAGAAATATAAGCGGAAGAAACTGTGAGGACAGGGAAACAATTAGTAACGCGAATGGAGCTGGTAAAACTACAGAGGTATAAATATCCATAGAGTGGAAATAGTTGACACGGTGCCAAAAAAATCTTTAACCCCAGGAACACAATACTGGAGAGCTATTTTCAGTGCTTTGGCCAGAAGTAAACTTCAGCCTTCATCTGCGGTGATTTCTCGGGAGTTCATGGATCATGATCAGAGTGGACGATTGCAGTTAAAAACAAACCATTAAACGGATGCTGAGTGCACATGTTCCCCTACCACTCTATCGATTGTTTGTTGTCAAGAGGGACCTCATAAAATTATGTGTGTCTTGTATGCGACTCAAATTTGTTACTTGAGTGTGATATTCAAGTACCTTTTATTTGCTAGAGACAACACAATTCACTCATGAATATTTAGTTAGTAATTCGTCTACTTTGTCGACGAACTTTTAAGACTGAACTCTGCAAGGACCTGCAAATTTTGTTTCATCCTTCATTCAATTAGACAGAAAGTAAACTGCATTAATTCCGGTGAACATTTTGGATGTTTCTTCTAAGCAAGAAAAATTCTAGGCAAACTTTAAGCAATGAAATTGGTTTGTTTCATTTTGAGAAGAAAAAAGCTTCAAGTGCGTGAAAAGGCAAATTGACATTTAAAACGAGTATAAACTTTATAAATTACATTGAATCTTTCGACCCATAAAAAGCTGAAATTGCTCATGCAGAATGAGTTTCTGAAGTCAATTTTTTTTTTCTTCTTTTTATGTGGACTTAAACACACATTTCTTTACAAAATCGCTTAAGTCTCAATTTTATTGAATAAGTCACAAACTTCCTTCATTTGTTCGAGGTTTTAAATTAAATAGAAGTGAAGATTGCGAGATACCACACTTAAAATTTGAATTTTCACAGTTCAGTCATTTTATATATTCTCAGTCATGGTCATCATCCTTCGACGCCTAAAAAGTGCGATCTTGAGATGAGCACACAAGGTTTGAGTTTGTTTGCGAAAACAATTACATCAACAATTCACGGAATTGGAAAATAGTTTACATTAAAAATACTAGACCTGACAGCTAAAAAGATTATTGTAAAACGAGGGAAGCATACCATGGAATCACACAATATGTAATTGAAAAAAAATGTCTGATTAGTACAATTGAAGCATCAAACTCCTCACTGACTGTTAATATCAATTTTAAAAGTATGTTGGGTAATTTCAGAGATTAAAAGATACTCTGTATGTCATTTTGTACCAGATTTGTTGCTTGTTTACTTTATCATGCAGAGAAAAACAAAACAAAGCTTGAGAAGACAGTAAAAAAACAAAAAAGACATGCATTATGCAGCTCAATTGTGAAGATTACGTAACCCTAATTCAAGAACAACCCTTCAATTTAAGTAAATGATTGAGAAAAGAATGACGCAGATTTTCGCCCTAAATTGGAAGTCTTCGGTAATTTCCGTTCATTCGATTTTCGGGGGTAAAGCTGGACCCAGACCCATTGCTAGATATTTTTAGTTGGAGTTACAAAAATAAAAGGAGGCTAATGAAAGGGTTTAAATTACTTAGTATTCTAAGTAAGCAGTGACGATGCATTGAAAAATTCTCAAGAGAGAAAAACAGAGGAAAAAAAGGAGAGGAAGATACCGATAAAAGTCATCTTGTTGTAAAAGGACTTACGGCCCTACTTTTCGGAGGATTAAAGGTTTTGAAAGCCCACAAAGAGAGAAATAAATCTTAGAAATATTTTATTGTTAGGATCACATGGCAAACCAGAGGATAAATTAAGAGAAAACCAGGACAGAAGGGGAAGAAGAATAAAAAACAAACCTCGAACCACATCAGGCGGAAGTTCAATTGGCTGATTTTCTCGAATAATTAATTCAGGTTTTCTACGCCTCACTTTGAAGGAAAATCAAACCAAAAATAAATTTGTGAATGATAAGAAAATTGAAAGGAAAAAAAACTGGTAAAATATGTTTCATTCATAGACAAATTATCTTATCACCTGCCTAAAAATAATTTAAGTGCAACAATTTTGAAGTCAATTGTGTTTCCATTGCTTTTGGACAATAGCACACTCGTTTGAAAGACAAATATAATAGAAGAAAAAATGGTGTGCCGCAATAGATAAAAACATGTGGATTAACTTTTTTTTCTTCTTTTCCATTGTGTTACTTCAGGCTATTTTGGACTGATTTTTTAACCATATGTTATGGATAAACCATCCACACATAGTTTTTTAAAATAAATATTGTCCTTTTTTTTCTTTTTAAAATAAAAGGAGAACAAATTTAAAAAAATGATGAAGCATGATATGATTCTGTGGAGATGAGGACTAATGGAAAATGAGAGAAAAAGAGAATATAAAGAGTGAAATATGGAAAAAAACAGATAAGTTTGTCCCACTAACGGATGAGATTTTCCACCTACATTAAAATTGCCTGCCATTTTTTTAGATAAAAATATTTATTTTCCCTCAAGAGACTATTATATTACAGAAAATTTGAGTCACATCAGATTTGATATAGAATTTGCTTGTTCTTTAATCACTACATCCACATGGTTGATTATTTACCAGTTTTCACAAGGAAATGAGAAGAAATTGCACATTATTGATGTTTGGTTTCCTTTTGTTTACTTTGTGTGCCCTCCTCTCTCTCGGTGATCTATTGAGTCATATTCAAACCGTTTTCTTATTGTATTCTTTGTTGTGTTTGCCATCTTCTTGAATCTTGATGCATCTTTCGTTTGTTTGGGTCTTGAGCCCGTAAATTGTGAAATAAATAAATAAATAAAATAAATAAATAGATGTTAGAGGATAACTGAGAAATTCCATATGCTGTTTATGAATTTATTATTTTTACTTTTTGCATTATTCGGAAGTAACCCTGAATAAACACATTCACCACAACGCCAGTCTGACTTACAGACTATACATTTTTCAACTAACATCTCTCTGATTACATGATTGCAAAAGGGTGCTGAGTCACTATCGCTGTTTGACTTATGATCAACCTAATGCAGGCAAACAATAAAATCATCGAAAACTTTGAAAAATAATTTTGGAAGATTTTCTGTCTAGACTTTGATCAAGCTCAAATTAATGGTTAAATCATATCAGAGCCGGAAATATATCGAAAATGAAACTCCAGAAATGCAAGACTTGGTTTGCGGCATCGGAGACTTCGTGCCATGCTTTATTTTTATAATGGAAAACTACTCCAAGTCATATCTTCAAAAATTTAATGATTTTTTTCCTCTGTATCAAGATTATTTTGTGGAAATTTCAAGCGATGATGTTGGTTCACTCTCCTTCAAAAACATAAATTAGGAAAAAAGATTTAAAACTCTGCAAACGTCATATGCGTTTGTGCAGTTCCACCATCGATATACTAATAAGACCATGGCGATAAATGTGTTAAACAAGATAACTGAAAATCTTAGGCAACCTACCTACTGGAAAAAGGGAGAAAATGTTTCCGAGAAAATAAAATTTAGAGAAATCAGAAAGTGTAATAGGTGAATGCAAAGTAACTAAAAGGAAGGAAACTGTAGAACTAGATTAATGAGTATAATTAATTTAAGAGGTCTACTTTTACATCATGCACTAGAGTACTGATAAGTACTATTACTACGGTAATTACTTCATTAGTGCTACAACAGATCCTGAGTTCCTTAATATGTTCCTTCAGGATTTTTCGAGAGCCCAATTGTGGAAGAGCATTCAAAGATGAGTATATGTAAAGTGTCTTTTTGATTTTTTTACTATTGGACCTATATTTGTTTAAACTCCTCCTTTTCAAAATACGTACTGAGAGATAGCTCAAAATCAGTTTTTAGTGTTTTTAATTTGAAGCAATAAAATTTTCGAGTGACAATTTTTCATTACGGCAACAGACAATCATCTGCTGGAAAATGTTTTCCTCGCTACTCCGAATTATAAACTTTTTACAGTAAGTCGAAATACATCCATGCATTTTCCAAAGTGATAAATTGAATACCCACTTTCAAAAGACATGGTGAGGGACCTTTATTCATAATTGAGACTGTAAAATGAAAACATGTAGAATCGGAAACTGTTTCTGTGCAGCATTGAAAAGCATTTACCATTTACTTTCCAGAGTTCTTTTCTCGAAAGGGGAAAGTATGGGATAAAACTTGAGAAATTCACGGTAGTAAATAATTATTGAATAATGACTTATGCTGGAACAAATTCATTACCTTAATATTGAGCAATAAAAAATCTGATGACTTATGGAAGGATTGATTTTTCATTAATTGAGTATCACTGATGATCATCAAAAGGAAGTGTATTCCGAGAACAGATGTAAAATATTCATACTTTTTACCGCGGTATGGACCTCGTAACAAGACGTGAGGAGAGATCCTGAGTAGTAGATTGCAAATGTAACATTCCTTCGGAGCCTCTTTTCTCGGTAAAAAGTTTAACAGAAACGCATTGTCTGTGAAATTGGGTCAAAAGTTCCACATTCGAGTTCTTAGAAAGCTCAGTGGTTTTTGTGTACAAGCTATAATTAATTAAATTGATTTCTTGTCAAAAGAGAGAGTACTTATGCGTATTAATCTAACCATACTAAACTTCGAAAACAGTGGTTTGAGAAATCGAACATTTTTGTGTTCTTAAAAACTTCGAACTATCATGATTCTGACTTGAGTTGATATTTATGAGCTTTCGTACTGCAAAAATCTTGGTGAAACTATCTGCTATTGATTCCAAGTTATGAAACTTTTGGGGTACCTTTTCCCACAGAACATCACAATTTGTGTTAAATTTTTTCATAGGATACTGAAGTTCATAATACAAATAAATCCAGGAGAAAGGTAAGGAAAAATAGGTGTATTGGAAAATGAAATGAAGAATGAAAGCAACAGAGCAAGGTTGATTTACAAAATGAACGAATATGTGAAAAAGATTCAAAAGTAGTGAGGGTGGAATTTTAAGAAATGGTCTGACACCGACTTAAAAATGACTGAAGATCATGAAGAGAAATGCTGCACATAAGTAATATCCCAAGAAATCTAGGTAGTCGGTGTTCATACCTGGTTCTTCATCATCTACCACAGCTTTCGGTTTGAACAATTCACGGAAATGGGGCTTGCAAAAGAGTTCTCCTTCGTGACTGCTGTAAGTATCCACTCTGTTATGAACAAACAAGAGAGAATTGAATCAATCAATCAAATGAACCGATTTTGGTGTTGTCTCTTGTTAAAATAATTTGAGCCCCACAGAATAAATGTATAGGAAGTCGAAGAAAATCAAAAGGTAAAGATTACAAACAAAAAGGAACGACGCTTATTGTTGAAATTTAATGATGCAAATTAGCGATCAGTTTCAAGATATTTCTGAGTTGCTTGGAAAATTAAATTCCTATTGCTTTTGATATGCTAAGAGGCGTTAAAAGAAAGTGGTAACTTTAAAAGAAAAACTGAAACCAGAAATGTTTTTCAGGAATATTGAGACCAAATTTTCAACTTATATTCTTATAAATCTAAGCAGCAGGATATTGATTATCAAGTTTCACGAGATGCTATCTAGGTATAATGATAAGAAATCACCCCGGCTAAAAGTTTAATGCCCAGAAAATTGAGCCTCAACTGTATTTTACGAAAAAATGCTACAAGAGTTGAAAATGAAATTTTCTTGAAAGTCAATTATTTTACAGCATGCTACTTTCTTAGAAAATGCGTCTACCTAATTACTCAGGACAAGAAATTTTGGTTCTGTAACTGGAAAATTAATTTATCCACTGCATTCACCCCTGTAATTTCCGTGGACGATTGCCCCGGCTTACTCAAAACTATTGTTAGTTGAATAGGTCTGTAAAGAACATTGCTTTGAACTATTTCCGATAAATTATTGATTAATGTGATTGAGGACAGAACAAGCGTCAATATTACGCAAATAATGATGGCTGGCGTTAACTTACGTTAATTGCTTATTACAAGTCTTGCATCGGAAACAGTTTTTATGCCAAACGTGTCCCTCAGCTTTTATCTGTTCCATGACAAACACGGCCTTGCCGCACTGTTTGCATTCTTTGCTTGAGTCCTCTCCATTTTGACGAGCCTGTGGACAGAGCATAAACGTGAGAAACATAAAGCTAGAAGTCTTTCCAAAATTTAAAGGCTTATTGATTTTAAAAACAAAAAAAACCAAGTGAGGGACACGGAGGACAAGGCGCGTAAGTGTAGTTTTTGAAAAAATTGAGATATTAATGATCTCACGTGAAACTAGTCTTAATGCATATTCTGTGAAAAATTCGCTCCTAAATTCCAATTTTTAAGCATCAAAAAGTCAGTTTGAACTTTCTTTCCGCCATGAGGATCCATGTAATTTCGAAACTTTGAACAGGTATTTCTCGAAATGGCAAAAACTGAACTTGCGCGCCTTGTCCTCCAAGCCCCTCAATCAAGATCCAAAATTTTCCCTCCTCTATCTAATCTCATTACCATACTTTCAAGATTCTTTCATCAAATCCCCCCCCCCTTTTTTTAAACAACTTAAACACCAACTTTAATTTATTCTTTCCTTATATTTTTTATTATTTGTTCATTTCTATTAATCTCTCTTCTCTGAGGTGTTAATGACTTATGTAGTGTTCAGGCACCTGTGAATAAATGTATTGACCAACTGACCGACCATTAAACTCCTGACAACATGGAATATTACAGAGGGTCCACGTATTTGCTTCAATGAGATGCCATCTATTAATTATGTGAGGCACCTAAGGGGAAAGGATGATCTAGACATATATGAACGTAACAGATTTCTAACGCAAGGAAAAGAGGGTTAAGCTTTACTTACTGTAAGGCTAAAACTACCTGCAAGTTGAAAATATTTGAGAGAAATTAGAAAAAGAAGAGAAAATAGAATACTTTAAAATGTACTCTTTTTATTCTAAAAAATTGGAAGGGAGGTGCGCTTAGTCCGACATAATTTCTAGAAGTTCTTGATTTCTGGATTCTAGAAGTGGTTGATAGATAGATGCATGACAAAATTGGAAAAGAGAGTTGAGAATTTAGATTGTAAGTAAATCCTCACCTGAACCAAATTTTGAGCTTCAGCAGCATCCGAGGAGCGAACGTGGAGAACAGTTTTTTTCGTCAGCTGATCGAATTTACTGAAACTTGATTTCTGCAACAATCAAAAAAAAAATTTCTTTTAAAAACTGTCAACTGTCGATTTTTTTTTTTAAAAAAAAAAACACTTTCTTGGATGAGAGAACTACACATAGAAACCCTCACTTCACTTCGAACTGTGCACACATAAAAAGTAAAGCAAACTGCTGAGATAGTCTGGACCTCAATGGTTATCAAAAATAGCATATCAGTTTGTTTCCTGTTTAAAAAGGATATTATTAGATGATTAAGTTTATCTCAAATTCTGATACTGAGCCATGCTATTTCATTCAGTCAAGTTCTCAGTTATTTTTTTTTGTCATTGCTTCATGTTAATATGTGCGGTTTGTGAACCACTTAGATTTCTTGAAATATGATAAAACAAAAAGTGAAAAAAGGGATCGACGATAAAATATGGGAGGAGGATGTTTCCCTTTAATTTTATTCTCCTCTATTTTTTTGATGATTGAATTAATACTTACGTCCCTAAAACATTTTTTCTAGTAGGTGTGAAATACTTAAAAATCTTTGACAGTTGGCACTTTTGCATTGAGGAGAGGAGGGTGGGCAGGTACCCTCTCTCTCTACCTCAAAAAAAAACCACTTACCTACTTCCTTCTTCTAGAGAAAAATGCTGAAAATAATAGCTGGATTAAAAATAAATAGTAATTTGAAGGGGGCAAAACAAGAACAAGTAGTAAAAAAGCAAAGAAAATAAATGGTAAAATTTTAAGAAACAAGATTTAGTTCAAACACAATAGATTTAAGAAAGATTTTAGATGAGCAAGGAAAAAATGAGATCAGATGAGGGAAGGAATTTGTTAAACTGACAAAAAATTTAATGCAGGCTACCGCAATATTGCAGATCCACAAAGTTTGGAAAATCATCCGAAATGGTAGAAAATGTCTGTTAAGTTATGATTGCACAGGATTGAGTGATTGGGCACCCGTCCTGAAAGTTTCCAAATTTTGTGGAAATGTTGACCCAATGTTGCCTGAACATTTTCGTCTTAACTAGAAGACGCTGCCCCATGCAAGTTCCCTCACTAAAGTATTTGAATAAGATCACAGCTTTATTGAATACCATTCCACAAAAAAATAAAAATTCCATTATGAAGGCGAAACGGGAAACAAGAAAAATACAAGTACAACACAACCGCGGTAAGGAAGAACGCCGTATGAACATTCGAGAGTTGCCAAATTTCCCTTGATACAACATGCATTTTTGACAACTTTCATGCATATTTTTCCTTGAAATTTTCAGATATTTTAGATTAAATTACTTACTAAATTGTCTGAAAATTTTGGAAAATAATATTCTTAATTTTCCCAGTAATTTCGGTTTTTATCGGAAGAGACTTGGCAACGTTTTAAGGCTCATACGACGTTCTTCCTTAGTGCGGTAGAACAGCACAACATAAACAAAGCACAAGAACGAGCACACTTACCGCTGATGTGAGAGAATGCTTGGGAATGACAGAGGTCTGGGGAGAGATATTAGGTGAGACAGTGTTAGATCTTGGGAGATAAATTTCACAAATGAATCGGTTCGATGATTTGTAAGGTGAAAGTTTTGATGGTTTTTTGATTTCGACAGGTTTAGATTCAGAACTATTTACCGAACTCCAATAAGTTGCCACCTATTGATCATGCAACAAAATTTAGTAAACGAATTAGCCATGCAAAAACATTTTACAAACATGTATGACGGCGGAACAGGCGTTAGATCAAGGGGAACTATTACCAAAAACTTGAAGAGGAATGCGTTTGATTTTTGGTTTAAATTTGGATGAGTAGTATTCAAAGCAGATTAAAAAAGAATACAAGTAGTAGTTACATAACTTTTCATTTTAATGCAAAACTACCCTCCACCTGATTCACAACACCTTGCTGCTATCTTTACTCCCTCACTTTAGTCTTGTATAGGCTATTTCAATTTTAAGTTCAATTCTGATTTGCAGGTAAAAACAATAAGTGACCATCCATAGAAAATAGCACTATTATGTACCATGACAATTTTCTCAGGAAATAATGTTGGTCAAGGTGCGCTGAGAAAATAAAATTCGAGTTATTGATGGAAAGCATTTCAGTTTTTGATGGGAAAAACATACATTTTTGGATGGATGGTTCCGTAATATAATATATTAATATATTATTTTAATATATTACATTATATTATATTATATTATATATATGAAGAGGGGCTGTAGACCTATGTTACGGATGCATTACAAGGGCGGAGGGAGGGGGGATCAATAAATACGATTTTCAGCGTTACATATTTCATGAATGGACCTCAAGCCATCAGACTGCTGAGTGAACTTTTTTTATAATTTTAGACACGATAAACAAAATTTTTTTTAACAATAAACACACAATGTTTTTTTTGATCAGTTTCAATAACAAGCTAAACATTGAGCAATTTTGAGGTGGTAAAAATTTGATTAAAACTGGAACAGAGAGTCTTGAAGAAAGTTAAAAAGCTTAGAACTGAGTTAAGGCAAGAAGCAAAGCATATTTCATGGGCATGAAGCAAAATTCAAGCAAGGTAGACGATCATGTCAGCTTTCAAGCTCAGAGTTAATGCGGGTAAACTTGAATTAGCCCCATGAAGAGGACTAGATTATTTCGTCTCTTGCAAAGTAAAATCGATGACTTGGAAGATTATAAAACAAAAGATAAAAAACTTCAAAACCCTGCAATGCAGCTTTCAACACTGTAGGATCCCCATGAAACTATTTTGTCTAATTTGGAAAACTAACAGATAAAATCCTTGATAATTATGTGATTTTCCTCATCTGTTCGCAAAATGATCGAAACGATGAATTCGGCTCACTATTTGTCAGAAAAATGAGGAAAACGCAGGAATTTTGAAAAAACCGCAGGCTAGAAATTTAGTTCCTGAGTTTAGCCATCGAAATGTTAATAAAAAGATACGATAGGCTAGACAAGTGTTCAGAAATATTTCTCAGTGAATCAAGGAAGACTTTTGATTAAAGTTCCAAAATTCCAAAAGTTAACACTTAAGTTCATTTTGCCAAAATGTTAGGCTGCAGAAGCCTCACTTTGAAATTTACTCAAATACCGGAGCTTATGAATACTCATGAATATATTTTGTGAGGCATGAGAGAGAAATATAAAAAGAAGGAAGCATAAGTAGGTCCATCATCTCCTTTCCTTACGGCATTTAATTGTGTAAACAAACTAGAGGAAATAGGAAGAACAGACAGACAAGCCGCTCTGAATGATATTTTTGTCTGTGATCTGACAAACAAAGTAAATCTATGGCATTCATAAATTAAATATTGTTTTTTAACTTAATTTTAAGTTATTAATTTTGGACTCGAGGGGGTAAGACAGCAGCTTCTCACTTTCAATCCTAACAAATGAGGCTTAATTTCTTGTTTTTTGGCAAAAAGCCAATTTAAGGGCGCCTCTTGGAGCGATCGACTGCTTCTGCGAGTTTTAGGAGGATACAGAAACAAGCACTGTAATCAACAAATAATGTCATTTTTCAAGTATGAATGAAGTATACAGGTGGTGATATCTTCATTTCAAAACATTGAAAAAGTCAGGGCAAAGCTATCTACTTAGCACCTCAGGAAAAATGAAAGGCAACTCAAGGTTTGGTGAAGAAAATGTATTAAAATAATATGAATCCGTGATTTTTATATTTCCGTCTTTTTCTGGGGTAAGTCTGTTAGCCCTCTCATGTCACCAACCACCCTAACTTGTTTATTGGATTATGGTTGTTGCTTTTCCTATTACAAATAATTTTCAGGTTTTGATGATGGCTTTTTAAGAAAAGCCATAAGTTTATTATAACTATATACTGACTATCATGCAATCATTCAAATATAAAATAAATAAATTAATAAATAAATTTTAAAAACAATTAGAAATAAATTATAATGTGCAAGGGAAGATATTTTTGGTAGGGAGGGTGTAAGTTAAGTCAGGCGATAGGTCAAGTTTTTTATTCAATATACATACTTGGATCGTAGCTGAATAGTTAGTGAAACTGGATGATGTCAGTAGCATTTGAGAGGATTAAAAGAGGAGAAATTAATGTCTAGGAGCAAAAAAGTTGTACCTAGCACAGCGAGAATTTTGAAATTAAGAGGATGTCAGTTTTAAATACTTTCACTGGTAAGTGATCAGTAATATTTTTTGTCAGGGATTTTTATTCTGTAGAGAATAATTTAAAATATCGGTCAAGAGAAAACAATTGCAATTTGTTCTGGGAGAAAAAGACTTGGTAATTAACCAACATCGCTGAGGGACGATGGTTGTATTGTGGTAAGAGGCAAACAGCTCTTCATTGGCCTCCTTAGAAAAAATAGCAAATGGGTAATGGACATTTTTAGGACAATTTCCTATTCCCAAAATTAGTTCGTAAAAAAAGGGGGATGGCCTCATGAACTACCCCCTCAGACCCTTCCACAATTTCGTACACGCGCAAAGAGCATGGATTTAAGGATGCAAACCTAAAATTCTCGACTGAAATTAACACTACCATTTTTTTAAAAACAATTATCTTGAAGCTAGTCAAAACTTGGGGGAAAAACCTGTGCTCATTTTCTCAAATTCACTTCTAACGCTTGATACGAATTTCTCAACAGAACAAATTCCAATCAAAGGGCAGGGATTTTGGAGGAGTGCAGAAGTTGAAAGTTTGGTACAACAATGTCAAACTCACCAGTTCTTTGACTGAAATTCCAGTGTGTATGGTTGGTCGTTTGTTTGAGTCAACTATTCGTCTTAAATCACCAAGAGAGCGAGCTCTCTGATAACGCAAACAAATGTTAAAGGACAAAACAGGATACAAATCAGTTAACACAAATACAATTAAAAACTTAGATCAAACATGCCATCTTGCAATGCATTCCTCGGAAATTGACTAATGAACTAGATTAACTGGAGGAAAATTTCATATTCTGTGACTTTCCTTTCTTATAAAACCTTAACAATCAAACATTTTCAACAAATCAAGAGTAGCAAGGAGTGAAAATCCTAAAGCGGTGTAAAGTCATCATAATTGAAGTACAACGAAGATAGTGAGGCTTGTAACCTCTCATTGTAAATATCACTATATATTGTACTTAAAATGGAAAAATAAAAAGAAGGATAAATGAATTATTAGATGCGAAAATTGAGGAAGCACTAGGTGATCAATTTTAAAAGCTTCTTCTACTGAGAGTAAGACAATGTTCAATTGCAAAGAACAGCACCATTAACCTTGCTTGGACAAAAATTAAACTGAACTTTCAAAAGCAAAACAAGAAAATAAAATACCACGCACGTAGGTAGCAGGTAGTCATGATAAAAAAAAGCAACATTTGAGCATTATGGAACATGTTAGCTCACAGGTAGCACATCAGCTTACAGGATATGCCAAGAATGCCGACCCAAGGGCACCCTGGTAAAAATTGGCGATATGAGCTGCGTTTCAAAATACCATAGGAGTTCTTATAGCCGACTAAAGAAGGCTATTGAAAATCACATAGCTGGCTGTAGAAAGCGGAGCAAATCATACCTATAGCCGGGCTATACGAGGCTATAAAAAAGAATACAGTCGGGCTATTGTTCCTATCGCCGGGCTTTACACTTTGTCGCCATTGGCTATAAAAGGCTATAAGAAATAGTGTAGAAATTCGAAAAATCGAAATTCGTTTCGGCTTTGTGTTTAGTAAATATTAAGGTAGTTCCGTATCAAACTTAATGATTTCCAAAGCACACATTTTATTTTCCTTTAAAACGTATTTTTTTTTTCATCAATTAAAATGAGAATAGTCCATACAGAGTGTGCAAACATTTCAAAATCATGAGTTGAAAAACGCCGACTCCGCCAGATTAAATATTAGAACCTAACACAAAGCGGAGCGGTGACGCACTGGCGCCTACAAACCTAACAGGGATACTTCACGCATTGCGCAATGCGGGAAGTATCCCTGTTAGGTTTGTAGGCGCCAGTGCGCGTTACGCGCTCTATGCTCGCCCGCCGCGCCGCAGCGTGCCACGGCGTCTGAAGCAACTATTTCACACCAGAGGTATTGCACAGTATCATAAGGGATTGAAGGCGGTCCAACTTATTAAGAATGACAGGCATCCTTCAAAGGTACGGAGCTTTCCTCGCAAAATAAATCAAGATACTACGGCACAAAAAGAGCGCGGTAGTCCAAAAACTAACTCAGTCCTAGTATCCGTAATTAGTAATAACGTTTAGCATAAACTTTATCGTCTGGCTGTTGCTTAGTCGCCATCGGCTATAGAAGGCTATAAGAAATTGTACAGCCGGCTACAGAAGCTATTGGAAATCTTACAGCCGGCTTTAGGTCTATGGTATTTTGGAACACAGATTCTACTGCCAATTTTTACCAGGGCATGTCAGCTCATTGGAGATTTTAACTTTAGTGGGATGATAATGTTTTGTTGTGGAATCATAGACTTAGTTGACATCAGTGAGTAAAGGGAAGAAAACATTAAATGATAAAATTGACAGATCAATTCATAAATCCTGAAAAGTTACCTACCCTAATTTTTTGCAAACTACAGCTTTCAATGCACATGCGGACTACATTCATGGTTTATTATTAGTTGTCGTTTTAATTTCACTATCTGCTTTAATAATCTCGAGAATCAGCAGAAAAAGCCTCTACAAAGGCTGGCTTAATAAGTTTCGGAAAGCTACTTCCTCGAATTCCCTGCTTAAAGAATGGTATTTCTGATGGAGCTTCTGCAAAAATTCCACAGAAAACCTTTCCCATAATTCAATTCCAGGAAAAAAATAAAGATCAAATCAAGAGGAACTCACCATTTTTATCGAGGAGGAACTATTGTCATTGAAGTTATGTGTATTATTATTGGTTTCCTTAACATCGAAAGCTTTCCGCAAATCCCCAAAGCTACGGCGCTACGCCCCCAAGCAAACGCGAATTAAAAGCACAACTGAATTAATACATTTAAAAAAGCACTGAACAAAAAGTTTAGAAAAAAACTCACACAAAAAAGAGGACTGATAGAGAGACGAAATTTTAAGATTATTCTTTATTATCAGGCGAAAATTGCAACCATGCAACTTCTCTTACTTTTGACAAAATTGGAGTCATTAAGAAAAAATAATTAACTATGTATTAACGTTTTGCATAAGATTCACTGGTCATAGTAATGAATGTATGAAGGGTTACTAATGCTAATTGAAAGGTTTTTTTTCTCTCTTAAATAGAATTATTAACTTTTTTCTCCGTAAACATTTCAGTTGAGAACACTATGGTTGCCAGTGGGATCAAGGTTTGAAGGCAAGAGTATAATTTGCAAAAGTTTTAAAAAGGTTGCGATCAAGTGATTTGATAAATCGTGAAAAATTAACTATGCACGTATTACGGTGTAAAATTTTGCCTACCCCACAGTTTAAAGGCACTTTCATAACGAAAATAACGATTTATACCCGCGACAAATTCAATTTTCTTTGTCAGATATCAATAAACTTACAAGCTCATGCAGTTAATTAAAATTGAAATTGTGAACCGCAAAATTTCCTTGGGAGAAATAAAAGGGAGATTCTACAACAAGCATACTCCTTCATTTAAAAAAAAAAAAAAAAAAAAAACTTAGTTCCAGCATGTAAACTGGATTCAAATACAGTGTTCAGATGAGAGATTTCTTATCCTGTCTCTGCTATGGGGCTGGACCGTCAATAAATGACGCCAGAGTCAGGGTGGCATGAAACGTAAGAGAGAAATGAAAGATTAGAAATTTCTGTGGAATAGTTCATGAAATTTCACGAGGCTGTGAAATATTTCATACGTTTCAGGGACTAGAGTATGCAACCCGCACTAAAACTCACAAAAATAGAAGAAAGTCACAATTTTTACATTTAGCGAAACATGAAAAGGAACCGGTATTTTTCAATATCTTTCATAAATTTCTGAAATTTCATGACATATTTCACGTGAAACTCCAAGATTTTATTTTTCACGAAATTTTGCCACCCTGGTGAAACCTTTTCTGCGTTCAGTTCCACCCCTTCAGCATAGCTGCTTGCCTGACGTGTACTTGATGGTGGATAATGGGGTTCATGAATCGAAGGAAAAGTCTGACGTCATCTAAAGACAACCCCCATTTCAGGAAAGTTTTGTCTCCGGGTTAAAGGGCTGAAAGTGGGGGGCTTACCAGTTCTTTGATGGGTATCGAGGGGGGCACCGGCTCTTCGTGCTTTATCGTCGAACTCTTGTTGGCTTCGCTGCAGTACGCTTGTTTCTGTTGGGAAAGCGGGCACAGAGCAAATGGCGGCACACAGAATGGACGAGAACGCAGGAACAGAAAAAAAGGCAAACAAACGCGCGTTACAACACATCCGCAAGCAAATGCATGACCCGATGAAAACATGTACATACGGACCCGATGGCTTCGATCAGAGAGTGATGGTGAAAGGCCGATGCTCTTTACCGCCGCACATTGAAACGTGCGGGCGGGGAAATAGGACGAAAGTTAAGAATTTGACATGTAAAAGTTCGCGAGAAATACGATGGTGCCACTGGTTTTCTCTGAAATCAACTCCCCAGCTCAAAAAAAGCTCTCAAGTTGAGGCCGAAATGGAGGGGATATCCCACGCTATCCTGAGAGTCCACGTCTACATCGAGGGAAAATCTCCATGCAAAGATAGGGAGCAAATAAATTGACAGGGCTGCCACTTTATTTGGGGACTCTAAAACTGAAAACACGTTAACCCTGCTAATGTATTTGCTCCCTATCTTTGCATGAAAAATTTGTCTTGATGTAGAGGTGGACTCTCAGGATAGTGTGGGATATCCTCTCCATTACGCCCTCAACTTTGAGAGCTTTTTTTGAGCTTGGGAGTTGATTTCAGGAACGAACCAGTGGCACTATCGTGTTTCTCGCGAACTTTTACGTAAGAATCAATAGTCAAATCGCAAATTCCTCACACGTGCAACATCTCGATTTCATTGAAATTTAACGTGAGATTCCGCAATGACAAATCTTGATAATCCGCATGGGCATTATACGAGCTGGAGTTGGTAATGGGCTTCAGAAGCAAAATTTCGGGCGGAGCGCCTTCATTTTGCCAAGATACTCTACGCTTTGTCGCGGAGTTAGTTTAGTTGCCGGTCCGACCCAAACCCATCTAAAGCATCAGATTTCATTGCACCACGCACAAACGAGTGCGCCCACCGCCATGCATTTATGGAGGAAAAGTGTATATTCCAATCAAAAGCAGCCGTGCTGTATTGTTGTATTTTAATTTCTGAATTAAATATTTTTTATTTCTGACTAGTGGCCTGATAATTGCCGGCGATTGCTAATTTCGTGCGACACATACATCACTCTCCGATCGAACTGGAATTAAAATGAAAATGATAACATGAAGTTTGATAAAACATGGAACATGAAAAAGAAAGTAAAAATTAAAAAGCGTGCAAGACATAGTTGCAAGCGCAAGTGCAAAAAACGTGGGAATCGTCGTTAGTTTCTGGCCACTATCGTGTATATCTGGTCCTATGTTTACATTATCAAGGTCTCGATACAGGAATCAAATTGGACTATTTGATGACTGTTGATCACCATGGAACAGTTTTCTTTGATCAAAATGGCGTGTCACCATTTTTCATTCTTTGCCGTACTGAACAGTTTTGCCAAATTTTTTTCGAGAAAATAATGCGAAGTAACAAATTTAGTCATTTAGGTTTAAATGATAGATCAATCGATTAATCGCAAAGCACTGGCAGATTTCTCCATCGATAATACACATTTACCTCGATCGGGTTTGTTTATATCATTGGTCCTTAAAAGCCGAGCGAAAAACCAAAAGCCTGTGTCCCACTATCAAAATACTCCATCAAAATGTTACGGTCAAGAGCTGTGATTGGTTCAAGTCATCAAATAAGCCAATCACAACACCTGACCTTGATATTTTGATGGAGTATTTTGATAGTGTGACGGTGTGACGCAGGCTTGAATCTGATAAGCAAAGCAGAAAACCTCACAGACATGGCAATATTCTCCCTACATTTATGAGTACTCTAATTAACTCTTTTACAAAACAAAACGTTGAGAAACATACAAGAGAGGTTTCCACGATGATAAAGAAAGCCACCCACTGTGTACCAGAAAGTTGTTCGAGCATGTTCGTTCGTGTTGGGGTTCGTGCGTAAAAAAGTCATGTAAAAGCTGTCAGATTCTTGGCACCGCCTGAACGCCAGGTGATCCTGTCGCGGGACTAGATATCTGGTAATGTTGATCAAACGTTGTTGGGATCAGGCACTCAATCTTCTTTGCTAATTGTGAGTGATGACTGATGAATCTCACGTGCGATAGTTCACCGAGACGAGTTTGACAAAATTCACCGAGGCAAGTTTGACAAACTGGGTTGCATTTCACCGAGAATTTGACAAACTGGCTCTTACTTGTCATCATCGACTAAACAGTACCAAATGACCAGAAGAACTTACTTTTCTTTCGCCGCTGATCCTGCGATACACGCTGGCCGTCGCGAACCACAGCATCACCAGGACCGTGTACATGGCGCCTGGGTCCCGGGGCTCGAACCCCGTACCTCGCACTGCTCGACTACCTACGCACTTTCTCACTCGCGCCGAAAAATCGTCCGACTGAACGCCAACATCCAACAGATATGATTAAAAAACAAATTAGCCTCCACGACCGCGAGTAGCATAATTTCTAAACCGTCCCGCCCGAGAGGAAACCGCGTAACTACGGTGAAAATCCCCCGCGGATACGCGGTTTACGCTAAAGCTCCTTCACCACCGTTGCCAGATCGTGCTGATTTCCTCGTAGAGCACAATGCAAAATATCCGGGCTTAGTCACAAGATCTGGCAACCTTGTCCTTAACATTTACTTTCGTCGGAGCCGGTCTCAAAATTTTAAAGCTGCGTGGGAGGGCGAGGGGGAAGGGGGGCAGGAGAAATTCGCGAACGAGCGGATGTATGCGCGCACCGGAGTAATGCACGGAGAGAGGATGAGAGGGGGAGGGGGGCCTGTGGCTTACAGCTGCACACAGGCAAAAAAAATTAGTGTTGCAGTTTTTACCGTTCCTGACTGCACGGTTCGGTTGGAATTTGCAGGAAAAAATGTGAGAGATAAACCTAATTGCTACTTCGTCGAGGGCCGTTTCAAGATGCTCCAGAGACCTCGCTTTTCAGGGTCGTAGACTTCGTCCTTCCTTATAGTGCTGTGCTAAGGAAATACGCCGTATGAACCATCAGGGGTTGCCAAACTTCCTTTGATAAAACGCGAATTTCCTGGTAAACTAATGAATATATTCCTCCCAATTTTTCAGATGATTTTGTTCGCAATCACACCGAAGAATTCTGAAAATTTCAAGGAAAAATATTCATAACTTTCCTCAAAATTAAACATTTTATTGAAGAAAATTTGGCATTAGCTCCCCTTTCCTTTAATTTTTTTGCAATAAGGGGGATTTTTGGGAGGATACCGTAATTTCGGTCTCTGGATCAATCAATGAGACACTAAATATGAGGCGTTCTCTTTTAAAGCTTTGTCAGAAAGCTTTGTACACAGAAAAAAAGTTACGGGCTTTGTAGACATACCGTCCGTTCCGGGCTCAGAGGCCGAAAATTCCGGATTCTGGAGCCGTAACTTCGATTGCTCCGGGTGCTATGCCCGGAACTTTCGGCCTCTGAACCCGGAACACGGACGGTATGTCTATATAGCCCGTAAGTACGGCTTCCACGGCCGGAGTTTTTTTTCCGGTGTGCTTCGTTTCTAATTTTTAAAAAGGAAAGTTAAAATGAAAAGCGTGAAAAATGATAAAATTTTTCATATGAAATTTTTGAAAAGGCGTAGCGTAGAGCTTCGAAATACATTTTCTTAAACGTTCAAGTATACTGCAAACTCACAACTGTTCGAACTTCGATTTCGCCTCACTCTCCCTCTCTTTCAAAATAATATGTTTAATAGCTCGTGTATGAGAGAAATTCACTCTCAGCCGTGCCTAACATGTCTTGCTCTCATAGTAATAAAAGTATTTGCGCTTCACTCATAAAACCTGCGTTATAGTGATACGAAAGCGGTTGATTTAAGTGTTCTTAGAGGAGTCGGATGAATAAATAAACAATAGCAAGGCTGCCGGACGGATGCAGAAATGAATCTAAATTTTCATAGATATTATGATGAAGTTTGAAAATAAGCTGCCTCCTGGGTCGAGAAATATTAACAAAATGAAGAAAAAAATAGTGATTTTCGATGATTCTCGAACGCACTGAGCAAGAACTCCCTGGCAAAAATCAGTCAAGAAGAATTGTAAATAAATTAAACGCTATATAAACTCAAGCTAAACACTTCATAAAACATAAGCCGTTAGATATTCCTATCACGCTTGAAAAATTATCACGTCTTGCGAGGGATTTCTTCTCGTTTCTGGAAACATAGCAATGTTCCAACAAAAATTTCAGCTCAGGAGCATACATTTTAAATTCTCTCGAGCTAAATTCTCCTCGATGTGCGAACTGCTTTTGAATCCTCCAAAAATCTAAACGCCTCGCGAAAACTTCGAACATCGGGAAGGAAATATTTTCGATCAAACGACAGGGAATGGGGCAAATTTTATTTTCCTCTTCTTAGCCTCATGACCTTTCAAAAAATCTGGGGATCTAGGGATCACGTGCTAAAATTCGGAAAGCCTCAGTTCGGAAAATGAAAAAAATCAAGATTCGCTATTAGAAATCTCGAGGCGAGATCCGGAGCTAACTCCACTCCGGAGCATATTCTGCCCCCAAAAATTCCGGTTGGTGAAATGAAGAGTGCAATCGCTCCAATAAAGCAGGGTTGCCATACAATTCGAAAACTGTAGCTCCCTGTCATTTCCTTGACGAATTTTGGTAACATTTCCGGACATTTGAGGTTTACGAGATGGTTAAAAAGACCAAATTTGAAATAGTTTTCACGCAACATTTGCTATTAGAAACGTAAAAAACATTCCAGAAAAGGAGATAATCTAACAATTCTTCCATGAAACTCCCACCATCTTCTCTGACACTATTCTCAAGTTTCCCTAACTTTATCAAATTCTATGAAATTGCACGATTTTTCCGGTTTTCCTGGACTGTGACAACCAAGCTAAGATCGGAGTTGACTCCGCAAACAAAGTTTCTTCTGCTCTATGAAACCGTCGTTCACTCCGCAAAGGGCAGATTCCACTCCGCATTATAGCACTCGGGGTTTTTGGGGAGTGAGTAGGTTCCGGAGTGAAATTTCCTCC